AACAGTAACACCCATCAAAAACAAAATTGCAACAGAAAGAAAAAAACAAACAAAAGACATTTCCTCTAACGTTATGAGTATTCCTACATAATTTTATTAGAAAAACAAAATTGACATTACACACGTAAGACTAGAAAAATTTCAATTTTATCGCTATCATAAAAAGGCAAGATAATTGAGAAAGAAAAGAACTAGCCTAAAGAGAAAGGATATCAGGATTGATTTGTGGCACTGGATATCACTTCAAGCCACCTAGAAAAGAAGAAAAACAAACAAAAAAAAAATTACAAACCATCTAGAGATAGAATATATATATTTTTTTTTAAATAGACAAAATACACTTACCTGTCAAATGCATATTGACTTTCAGCACGAAAAAAATACACATGATTTTTAAATTGTAATTTAAACACATATTCTTTATTAATACCATCACTTTCTGATGGTAATGATACACTATAGCCAAGTAAGGGTAAACTAGCTAATGGAAAATCATCCTTAAAAGAAAAAATAAGATAATTTATATAATAATTAATATTTTTATATGAAAACTTTACCTGATATGTTTTGTAGAAAAACAAACAAAAATTTGTAAAAATAACCCATAATTTCTGCCATCCATTTGAATTTTTAAATTTTCGTAATAAATATCCGCTTAATTGATTTTTAATTGAAAATCTATAATCATTCATACTAACAGATAAATTTCTATGCCAGCAAACATGCATTGTTGTATTTGCACGATGTTGAATACATGACCGTTCAATAGTATTAGTTTCATCATCTATGATATGATCAAGATTTTCCGATGATGCTGTAAAAACAATGAAAAAATGAAACATAAAACAATAAATATAAAATCAAAGAAGTCTGTTTTCTTACTATTCGATTTCAATGTAGAAGAATTTTGTTGTTGTTGCTGTTGTTGTTGCTTTTCATCATCATACACTTTAGCTTTTTCAATGGCAATTTTCAAATCATTTAACCATTTATCTTTTTCAATTTCCGAACTGAAAATAAATTAACTAGTTTAACAAAAAAACCAAAGTTTAAATACTAAGTTTACTTTTGATTACCTTGCAGCAACGAGTAACGATCGATTTGTAGTATAAATTGTAATTGAATTTGGTATTTTAATACGTTCATCACTATCTTCAATCTTTAATGAAAAATTAAAAAAAGAACAATTTTTACAATGTTACTTATATGAGATAACGTAAAACTGAATTTACCATCATCGATTTTAAATGTAATTCACCGTGTAATTTAAATTGTAAAACTGGACTCGAACTTCTTGCACAATAAAGTAAAACATCGGAAAACTTAAAAAAGAAAAGAAAATGTGTCTATATCAGAATATATTTTACAATACATGAGAAATCTTACCAAAAAAAACATTCGCTGTTGATAACCTTTTCGTGATAATTTTTGTAAACATCCTTCTCGTATGAATTGCTATATAAAAAAAAAAGGTAGTAGATAGATATTTATTAGAGAGTATGACTATTTCAAGTCAAAATTTACTCGTTCATGAGAGGATGATAAATTATCGATACCAATTAAATCTCGTTGTAATTCAATTAATTTTTGTTTATTAAGCTAGATAAGATAATATAATAGATAAAATCAATTCTTATCTATTAATAATACTTACAAATATACTCAATGATTCCATAAAATTTTCAATATGATCTCGAATTTTAATAAAAACTTCGTAACAACGTTGATAATCATCTACATGATTATTTTGTTCATAGTATATAAGTAATTCTAAAATAAAATGAAAACAAATTTAATATAAAAAACAAAAATAAATAGAAAAATAAAAATGATCATACTTCCTAGTAACTGTCGATAATGTAATAATCGTTGTAATGGTTTCAATAAAAATGATATAAATGATAAATAGCAAAATTTTTGTGATTCAAATTCTTTATAAAATAAATCAAAACGTTTATTACGTTTTAAAACAATTTCTAATTCATTTAATAATTTTTCATAATTTTCAACATATTTTTCATAATTCTATTAAAAATATAAAATTTATAAAAATATTCTAAAATATCTGTGTGTATATAAATATACTTACTGGTAAAATATCGATTAGATGAAGTACAAGATCGTCAATACGTTGAAAAATATTATTATTATTATTATTATTATTATTATTATCATTATCATTATTTGTAAATGAACGACTTTCCCAAAATGCAATACGTTGTTCAAATTTTTTTAAAAATATAATATGAAATTCATAGATTGGAACAAGATGTGAAAATAATAAATCCATAAAATTTGTTAAATTTTCATCTGGTTCATGATCTAACATAATTGTAAATTCACGACGAAATGCATCAGCAATAACTTCAATATCTTTTTTATATGTACGTTCAGTCATTAACATTTCTTTACATATATAAAATGCTCTATCATGAATTGTAGATGTTATTAATGTTGATGATAATGAGGTAGGAATTGTTGACGAACTTATTGGTCTCTGCAAAACAAAATTTTGAAAATAATAAATTTTTTCTATATGATAAAAGATATTAACTTACGGGCGTTGTAGTTTGTTGTAAAATTGTAGGTGACGATGATTTTCCAGCTAAAAAAAAATAACTAATAATTACACACATGTTTCATAGTAGTTATCAAAATTGACAGAGACACAATTCTGCTCGATGTTTTATTTTTGTTTTCTTCTTCAGACTAATCCATGAAGATCGATATTTTTGTTCTAAAAAGTTTTACTGTGTAATAAACCGATCGTTTGTTTTTCCTTTTCTCACTAACACAATTGACAGTATTTTTTTTTTCTTCTTCCTAGACTTACGCGACTGTACGGTATAATTCATGTTTGATTTGGAGTCAACAATTGGAGTTGTCGATAATATTCGTTGTTCATGCAGGACTGGTATTGTACGTGTCTGTGACACAAAAAAAAAAAGTATTAGACAAATATTGTACATGGGTTCTTGCTAGAATATTGTCAATATTAATTGATCATTATTCGTCTATTTTCAAAAAATCTCTATTCGATTTCAATAATAAATGAATTTAAATCTTACTGATCATGTGAATACTTTGTTTTATTGTTCAAAAAAAAGAAAAGTATGGTACCTTATTTTCATCGATTGAATCATTGATTCTCATTGATGCAGGTGACGTGGTTAGTGGAGGAAGTGGTGGAGGAGGAGGAAAGAGATTTTCACCACTTGCTAGAATCGTTGAACTATAAAAACAACAAGAAAAATATTTGATAAAGTCTTGTGTTAGGTAAGTTAAAAGATGAAAATTATTCACACACATTTTTGCCGGTATTAAATCTAAACGTTTATTAACAGTTGATGTTATTATTGGCGTTGTTGTAGTTGGTTTTTGAACTAATTCTGAGATAATTGTAGTGGACGGTAAAGATGGCCGATGTTGATAATTTGTTCGAACAGAAGACGAAGTATTATCCAACGATGGTCTGGATGAATCAAATATTCGACGACGATGTTCTGTCGAGTCACCTGTGAAAAATAAATAATTGTAAAATAATGTATTAAATATGAAAACTGATACCATATTTTTAACAATAATTATGAAAAAACATTGGATTTGGATAAATAAACACATTAAATTGGATAAGAAAAATTTATTTCATTTTTTTTTATGAAATTTATGACTAGAAGAAAAAAAACTGATAATTTTATTTACAATTATTTTCTTCTTTTTTTTTTTACTCTATTTTCGTTAGACAACAATTTTCTATTATCTTCTTTTATAAAATTTTTGATATCATCTTCGAACACCAATTTGTTTATTGAAAACATTTTATTTTTGCCTAGTTAGTGCCTCTACTCTAAATCTCATTTGATTTTTATTTATTATCATTATTATTATTATTATTATTATTATTATTATTATTATTAATTTCGTTTTATAAAACTAGATAGAAAAACAAGTATAGTTGTTACTAAACATAGTATATATCTATCTATCTATATAGATATATGTATACGCACACAATGACAGAAAGCGAAACATTCATTCACTGATGGAACACACCAAATGTTATCTAAATAATTTGTCTAGTATTTGTATCATTTGACGTAAACAAATAATATATGTACAATAGAAGAAAAACAAAATTTCAAAAAGAAAAACAAAAAAATACAAAAAACGAAGGAAAATCCACATGTGTGACAAGTCGCCGGGCTCAATTAATTCTTTCGAGATGGCAAACCGAATCATATACTATTTTGTCATTAGGAAGTTTATTTAACAAATTACAACAAGAAAAATACGAAAGATAAATAAAAAACAACAACAACAACAACAACAACAACAACAATATTTTAAAGTTAGTCACACACATCTAATATTGCTACTTTTTAATACCAGTCAGCCAGTGAATGAGTGAAAGAGTACTACATACACATGCTATGAATATAAAAGGTCAAAAAATTTTATCTCGATTAAACAAAATAAAAATATGCATTACTCTTCATTTCAATAACATATACAAGACTGATCTAACCGTAGAAAAATTGAAAAGCTTCAACAATAGAATATGACTTCTACAAAACAAAGAACACGATAGAGAATTACGTTTCGTTTTCATCTCCGGTCACGGCAAAGAAAAAAAAACACACACTTTTTTGTTTTTTAATCAAGTGAATGGACATTGACAACAAAACCTAATTACCTGAATAACAATTATTCAATTCGTACATTTTTGGTTTTTGCTGTGTTTTTTTAGAATAAAAATATGATTACGGATGCTTCAGTTCAGAAACGGAATTCTACTTGAAGAAAAAAACAACGAGTTTTCTAGTAGAAATAAGAGAGAACGAACGAACGACGAATATTTATTCATTAATTCAAATTGAAAGCATTTTTCTCCATAATATAGAAAAAAAAAATAGAGACTCTGATGTGTCAACTCTAGTTTTTTTCCTCATGAAAAAAAAAATCAGAAATGGGCAAAAAGACTAAATTTACAAGATTTTCTTTTCTTTTTCTTCTTCTTCTCGGTCCCTAGTCAATAAATCTAGTATACTCATGATAAAAAATTATATTTAGATAAACTTAATTAATTTTTTTGTTTGAACACACCAAATTCATTGGCAATGGATGAAAATAATGTTATATGATATTAGCCTAGAGTGACAATTCATAAAATGGAAAGAAGAAGATTATAGTGTAGATAAATAGAGAGATACAAAATATTTGACTAGAGAAAAAAGAAGAAAATAAAGAGAGAATATAAAAAATGAAACGTAATATTGTTGTTGTTTGATAACTCAATCGTAAAAAATAATAATAAAAAAATAATCAGTTCAATATAACTCAAAAAACAATTCTCTTTCTCTCTCTCTCTCTCTCTCTAATATATTGAAACAACGAAGTCTTAGAACAATTATTAGAAAACTATTATTAGACAACAAAAAAAGAATTTCAAGGAAAATAAAATTGACATAGAATTAGCAATTTTAAGCTAAAAACCCGAGAAAGAAAAAACCGTATTACTAGATGAAGTATAAAATTCTCTTCTTTTTTTTATCATTTATTACAAAAAAATCCAATTATCTTACTTGAACTTTATCTTACTTCATTACACTTAACGGTAAATGTCAAGATACGAAGGATGAGTATCCAATAAATGATCATTTCCTTTTTTTCACTGAACTGACGCTTTTTTAATTGAAAGGTCATAGACATGATGAACTCATTAGAAAATAAAAATAATAATAAAATTATCAGAACATAAGCGAAAACTAATTTTTAATTACGTCTATTTAAATAAACTAAAATACAATGAAATCAAAAATGCAAAAAAAAAAAAAGAAAAGAAAAGATGTTTCGTTTTTTGAGCGTAATTAAATAAATGAACCTGACTAGAATAAATCTATTTTGAAAATTTAGATTTAACGAGAAAAAGAAAAAAAAACAAAAAAAAGAGAATAAACAAATGATAAAATTTATTATCTGGTAAATGAATTTTTTAATACTGAACGATAACCTGCTTTATTCAAATGATTTGATAATGAATCATCACTCGAATTTGAACTTGATCTTTTTTGATTTTTTGATGTTCGTAAATATAATCGTCGACGTTGTTGATTTAATGATGAAGATTTTTGTTTATGTTGTTCATTATTATTGTTATTTATTAATATTGATGTTGTTGATGTATTTGTACATTCAAATGGAAGATGTGCTATTATTGTTTTATTTTGTTCATATTCACATATCAATTTTTTTTCTTTCTTTTTTTTATGAATTTTTGTTATTGTTATTAATTGTTGTTGTTTTTGTTGTTCAATGTCTGAATCACTTAGATCAAGTAATCTGGCACTAAATGGTCGCATGATATCAGGTGACTTTTTTGTTGTTAACGGATAATTGAATAATTTTCTATTACTCATTGAAGATGCATAAGACGATGTTGAAGAAGAACGACTTGATGATGAAGAAGATGATAAAATGATTGGTTGTTGAATAGGTGATACAGATGTTTTATTTGTATCACGTAAAATATTAAAAAAGTTTAATTTTGCATCAGAAAATGTTGTAAAATCTGATTCATGTAAATGATGTTTGTCTGACGATGGATAAGCTGGAAAACATTTTTCATATGCTAGTTTTCTACTTATATCTGACCAATCTGTTGTTATTGCTATAATTGGAGTTGATTTTGTACGAAGTCGTGATGTATTCGATTTATTATCAATATTATTATTATAAACAGTTAAACAACATGATTTATGATGTTGTAATGTTGCAGTTGTTATAGATGAAAATAATTGTTGACGTTTTTCTATTTTATATAATTGTAGAGCTTTAGCGCAAACTTGATCGACAAGTCTATTGACGATTGCATACATATTTGATTCATCTTTAACAATACGATCACATAATTCATTAAGAATATCCATAACTATTGATTCAATTGATAATGACAGTAGTGGTGGTGATTGTACAACTTTTGATATTATTTGACGTTTTATTCGTTCATAAATAATTTTATTTTCATTTGATTGTGCTGTATCATCTTGCCATGATAAACTATGTTTTGGTGGTAATATTTTCTTATCAATATATTCAATATAACTTGTCATTCGAGGTAATGAATGTGCTTTTGGTGTTGGTTTTATCATAGGCATTGTCTTTTTTATTGGTAAAAATTTAACATGACCAATTTCTCGTACTATATTTTGTTGTTTTTGTTTCTTTTCTATGTGAGTAACAGAGTGTTGTTTATTGTTGTCAGCAATAGATACGTGTCCATGTTTTGGACCAATTAAACGTTCAATTGATGGTAGTGTTAATTGTTCATGATCTAGAGATTTAGTTGATGAACTACTACCAGATATTGATGGTGAATGTGTAAAATCGGATGATAAAGAACGTTCTAATTGTAATGAATAGGACCGCTGTTGTTGTTGCGCTCTTAACATTAATTTTTTCTCTTCTTTTTCATCAATTACATTTTCATTTTCATTCTCATTCTCAATAACCTTATCATTCTCAACAGTACACAATGAACGTTGATGTTGTGTCTGTTCAGGATGACTATGATGTATTTTTAATGCGGTAGAATAACGTTTATTAATTGAACTATCATCTTTCTCATTATTATTACTATTATGATTATTATTATTACTATTACTAGTACTATTATTATTATGATAATGATATAATTCAAACCCAATCATACTATTATGATTCGATTCACTACTATCAGTATTCGTATTGGCGACTAAAATTGAGCCCGACGACTTACCTCCTTCATCAGCTGTTTGCGGTTGTTTTGTTATCGTTTCAGTATGCACAGTGGTCTTTTTTTCAACTGTATAATTATATGTTTCACGTTTAGAATAAGATGGTGACACTTCATCACCATTAATCTCAGTTAATATTTCTTGATGTTGTCGTTCAGGATCATTTGTATCAATTGTATAAATTTCACGATAGATAAAATTATCTTGTGATGGTTGATGTTCAACAATATCAATCGATGGATCACGCGATAAACGATTAGTAGTAGCAATAACATTTGAATTATGCGTCGTCCGAGACGTTATAAGATGAGGAGGAGTATTAGTTACTATTTCTTCAACGTGTTCATTATTATTCACTGTTTGTGACGGTAATGCTTCGACTGTGGTTCCTGTTGCAGCTGGTGTTTCAATATTATCTTCATCTTCATTCGTACTTTCGCCAGATAAATCATATTTTTCACGACTAAAGCGTGAATCAAGCGTACGACTACCATGTGTTGAGGAGTCATCGTGATAGTATTGATAATTATCATCCATATTATTTGTATTCGAATTTACCAAATGATGATGATGTTGATGTTTATCTTGTTGATGCTGTTGTTGTTGTTGACGTTTCACTTCAGATGATATTAAGCGTGAATCAGCTGATGATACAGTTGTATCTTGACTACGCATTGTATCCGATGTTTTCCATTGTGGTGAACGTAACGAACGTGTTGATAATGGAGCAACGTTTCGTGTACTGGAGTAAGATCTAAAGAAAAACAAAGCAAAAATAGTTTTGCAAAGCAAAAATAAAAAATAAATATATTCTTTTACCTCGAAAATGTACGACTCTTTACATAATGTTCGCGTGCATATTCAACAATTTCCTTTTGTGTGCGACCAGCATATCTAATAAATACAAACGAAAAAACGAGATGTAACAAAAGATAATCATTTTCTATCAAAGATAATAGAATCTTTGTCTCAATTATTTTAAAAATTTAGCTTATTCTTTTTCTTTTTTTCTAAAAAAACACAAACATTAACATATTGAATTTACCTGAATGATGAACCACGTGTTAATAATTTACTTCTATGTCGTTGTGAACGTTTGATACTAACACATCGAAAGAACGCATGGTATTCAATACATTTTTTCCAAAATATTTTACATTCATCACGTGTATCAAAATAAAATTCAACAGTATCTTTATAATAACCGTAACCTTCGGGTTGAAGTTTAATTAAAAATTTTTTACGTTTAAAACTTAATTTTCTTATTTTAGCCCATGAAAATGTATTAATTTTTGTACAATTTTGAAATACAAGTATTCCCATATGAGCAACCGATAAATTGAGATTAACACTTTCATGATCTTTAGCTGTATGCATTTTAATTCCATATAATTCGACTTTTCGTGCGATATCCAATAAATTTAGATCAGCGTCAGCAGGTGTTTGACCACTAGAAAAAAACAATTCAGTAAAAGAAAAATACAATGAATTAGGTTAATTTTAGATGACTCATGATACATACATATGATTCTTATGATAATTCATTATTCTAACATCATGTTCATATATTTGATTTGGAAAAAAACGTCTTCCACCCATATATCTTGGATCATTATTGTAAGATTCTAAATAATCACCTATTTCAGCTAGAAAAAGATATAATCATATTAAACATATGAAAAAGATATCGATATATAATTTTTACCTTGAACAATATAAGAAGCTAATAATGCTGCTGTATTATCACTACATAATAAAGCCCCTTGATAAAGATCACGCTTGATTTGTAATGCAAATAAATATCTAATAATAAATTTAATTTCATAATAATTTTTAAATACAAAAAAAAATTAAAAATTTTACCTCGTAAATTCTTCTTCAAGTTGACCAGGATCCGGTGTATAGAATTTCACACACATATTAAATTTCGTTTCAGTAACTTGTTTCAAAACAGGTTTATCTAATTCAAGCCAAATCTTAAAATCGAAAGAAAATAAAACCCCAACGTCCAATATATATTAGAAAGCAAACTTCTTTTTTTTCTTTATTACTCAACAATCTTACCGAATTTTTACGAGAGTCAGAAAATTCTAAGGCAAAATAATCAGATTCAAGTAATTCTAAATAATTGCAAACATTATCATATAAATTTTGACCAGTTGCCTTCGGCTAAAAATAAAAAAAATAAAATTAGAGAATATCAAAATATGTTCTTCAAGTGATCAAATAGTATACGTTTAATCAAAATTGAAATCTATATAACACAATTATATTATTATCTATTTTTATTCTCTTTTAAAAAAATATTATGCTTTGGATTCAAATTCCACGTGACATTTTCTGATTTTTATCTATCTTTTCTCTCCTGTTTCAATCTGTCAAAATATTATTGTTCCAATGAATGAAAATATGATCAGATTACAAACTCATCATCATTTTAGATGATACCTGAAGATTATTTTTAATCGTTAACAGATGGACAGTACTATCTTTACATTAAACAGTTAATAATATAATAACGTATTTATTTCCTTAAGAAAAGATGAGAAGAAAAAAAATATATTCCTTTAGATCTCTGAAAAGAAACATATTTTTCTGTTGCCTATCCTAGATAATATCTTGAGTATGAGAATTTCTTGTTGTGTTATACAGAAATGGATAATATGTTAAAAAATAAAAAAGGTAATTGTGTGCAATTAAAGAGCAATTTACACTCAATACATATACATCAAACATCAATTATAAAAGAGAGCAAAAAAGAAGAAAGAATATGGACATTGTTTTTTTCTAAACCAATAAAAAGAAAAGGTTGCATAGTCATGAATAGATGTTTTTGATATTATCCAGATGGTTCTAAAGGAACTCATACAATTTGATTCACAATATTTAGAGTATTGAAACAACATCATCTTTCTTTACTAGATCTTGATAATCAACAAAATAGAAAAAAAAAGAGAGAACATATAAGTTCTACTTACATCAATATGAAATGGAATTTCTTGATCATCAAGCATTCGTACTTTACATAATATTTGTTTTCCTTTTAATTTTGATGATGATTGTTGAGATTGAGATGTTGATGTTGTCATAATAATGTTCTAGTAGTACTGACGAATGCCAATTTTGGCAATAAACTTATTGTTGTTGAAAGAGTTATAACGGATATTTGACATGTTGTTTGTTTTAGTTTTATGACCATAGTCATTTTCAAAAAATGTTTATAATAACTATTTGTTGTCGTTTTAATTTGTCGATATGCATTTTTTTTTTTTTACATCTACAAACAGAGAGATAAAGTCATGGAAAACACCGCATCATCCTTTTTTTTTTTTTTTGTATTCGTCATCTTCTCTAACTCAAACGTGATTATTACGAAGAATTGTATTCATTAGAGAATATATAATGTGATAAACACACGCAAGAAGAAAAAAAAAAAAGCGCGCGTAAGAGAGAGAATGATGTTTTATGTATCTCGTTTCAATAATACAGATACACGTACAACAAAATGGTCCCAAGCTGTTTTAGGTTATAATTAATAGCACAATAGTTGGACTCAGAATATATAGACATATATATATATACACACACACACATGTACAATGTTGATTAAGAATTTTGTTGTTCTTATTCAAAACAACGAGTAGAAAATATGTCGTGATTTAAGAGAGATAAGTTAACTTAAACGTAAAAAATTATGAGAAATTTCTAATCAAAACTGAGTATTATTTGAAAAATAACAAAAAACATGCAACATATCGGAAAATGTTCTGCACGCAAATTTTCCACTCACGTCCGCTTATGGATATCCTGTCTCTATAAATTTGTCTTCAAAATTTAAGCAATCTACAAGGAATTAGCATAGAATAAACAGCTAACACTATTTTATGTTCTGTAAAAAAAAAAAAGCTCGTCAATATAAAACATATAAAGAAAAATTTTTTTCGGCTCGAACGATTAGTGAAACATTAACACTGATATCTAGAGTAATAAGAAGATAGAAAATCAGTATGTAATAGAACCAAAAATAATTTTATATAATGTCAATGTTAGTTACTCTTATAAACCACAGATTGTCGTAGAACATTTTGAAAAATTTATTCTTATTGTACATGTTACACGCTTATTATACTGACCGGTTTCTTTTCTTCTTCCTTTTCCATTAAATTGTCTACAATAGGATTTACTCCTGACAATTCATCTTTCTCTTTCTCTCTATCTATTTTTCTCTTATTTTTCTACTATTTTTACTATAGAATAGTAATATATCCCCGAAAAAATACAATTGCTCAACAAGACGAATATTTACATATAGTAAAATCTAGTGGAGAAAAGAAAAGCAGAGAAAAAAAGAGCAAATTGTTCCACAACACATCCTCAATGCATACGATTAATAATAATGATCATCATCATCCTCATCTTATCATCATCACTAAGTTTTTTAGCTATTTCTACTCTACACTCAAGCACATAACATAGGACTAATCGTTTTCTTTCTTTCTATTTTCTCTTTTTTCTTACTACGTCTGTAGTTCGAGTATCCGTTAATTCTGTTCCCTTTTTTGATGTTAGGGAAATGATACACACACACAGACACACACACACACAAAAGCAAAAACTTCTTTCAAACAATCAGAAACGAAATAGACACTATAAAAATATGTATCGATGTGAAGTTTTTAATATTTAAAAAGAAAAAAAAAAACATTTCTTGAAAAACGAGCGTGTTAGTTCGTGAACATCAACACACACATATTTTGTATTTTTGTTTCAAAATCTGAACATTTGATTATTGTGTATTTATATATATATATATATATATATTGATATCTTTATAAGCTATTGATTTTCAGTTCCTATCAGAACTAAATAAATATATATTGTCTCGATCGAATAAAAAATAAAGGAAAAAAAAAGAAAACCACATCATCAAATTTAAGCCTTGCATTTATATATCTTGATTCATCTTCCTCTTAAACTCTTCCTTTTCCGAAATCAAAATGGAAGATGATATTGTTCACACAAGATTTTTTAATATGAATTCTCTATGCGCACAAAATTATCGTTAATTTAGGCCAAATAGTAACGAAAAATTTTACTGAAAAAATTATTTGAATAACCATACACTTTTTGATGAAAAGTTGTTGTTTTTTAAGGTTGATGATGATTTTTGGATATGAATCTAGACAATGAAGTTTCTCAACTGTACAAAATCTATTTTATAATCATAATAAAATTTTGTAAAATTAGAAATGATTTCTTTAAAGAATATAGATTTTTTTTTCTCGAGAAGACAAGAAATAATCTAACAAACATAGAAAAAAATCAATTGCAAAAAAAAAATTATTCAATTCTATATCGTCTAGTAGATAAATTTTTCTGCTATCCAATTAATGAACTTTAAAATAATTTTTCAGCACTTTTTTTCTCTTCTCTCTTATCATTTTTTTATAATCTTATAAGTGTAGTGTTTTTATTTATACAAGAAATCAGACAAAGTCATTGTAATGTTAGAAATGTGTTCATTATCTATAACATTAATATACTTTGATGACAAAGCAATCAGTATATCTATATGTCAACGAGTCAAAGACAAAAGAATGAAAACTAAAAAGACAACAATAATTATTATCATTTACAATCTATCTACACAAAAGCAGGTTTATGTCAAAATGTTTTGTTCTCTTAATTGACTATACAGATATCATCGAAATATGAAGTGTATAAATCGTATGTCAGGAAGGAAATGATGTGGATTGATGCATTTTTAATCTGTTTAGAAAAAGATCGAAACGAAAACCAAAACGCATATAAAAAATTACCCATTTGATCTATTATGATGAAATTAATTAAAAAACTGATGTTTTATGATTAAATCGATAAATGCCAAATAGGTATGGACGTATATTATATGAAAACATTTATACAGACTTGAATCATATCAAGCGTGATTTGTTACAATCAAACTTTTTTTTCGAACTCAGCGGGAAAAGAAAGACAATTGTCAAAATAAATCTTTCTAGAGGAGAAAAAGAAAAAAAAAAAGAAGAAATATGACGGGAAAGTCAGAAATAGCGCAATTTTTGTATAACAAAAAAAAAACGAAGAGAAGAGGAGATAAAATCATGAAATAGAAGAGAAACAAAGAAGTAACATCATGACAGGAAATTATAATCATCATTATTCTATTTCAAGAACAAAGGTCACATACATTTTTGATCAATAAAGGATTTTTTTAATTTATAATAAAAAGAAAGAAAGAACATAACAAACATTTTTATAATAAAGAGTATAGTATATATAACGAACTTCACTTCATTAGAGGAGTCTAAAAGTTTATTCAGACGAAAATGATGATAAAGATACTTTGTAAAAATCGGTGTACATGAAATAATAGAAAAAACGAAAATAAACAAAAATTCTATATCGTCAAGAAAGTTGTGTCTAAAATCTGTCAAAAGACAAAGTTTATCTTTCTACCAAGTATCTTTAGAATAAAGAAAAAATTTTAATCGGAAATGAAACAAAATTTTCAGAAAATCATATATTCGGTATAAATGAAGGCGTTTTTTCTTCTTCTTCTCAATAATAGTGTGTTTATTAGTATACCTCTTGTGGGTAAACAAGCTGATGTTACACTAGAAAAAAAACGTCTTGAAGTGTCATTTTGAGTATAAAAGAATCCATTAGATTCTTTCTTCTTTTAATATCAAAAAAAAAAAAAAAAAAAGAAAAAAGGTAAATGTCTACTACTACACGGTACAGCACTATTTATTTATTTATTTATCTCTGAACAAAATTCATCTCAAATCTGTCTATATTATACAAGATGAGAATATTAAAATGAAATGTGTTTATATCTTATACTTAAGTTCTCAATTTATTCCCCAGATGAATTCGATCAAATAAAAAAAATCAATATTTTTTTTCTATCGTATTATTTAACGATGAAACTATATGAATAAAACAGAAAAAAAAAGAAATGAATATCTGTTGAATCATAATCGACTCAATATTATTGTAAAATAAACATTTTTTTAACTTTTTTTAATCGAACTTTATATAAAACACACGTGAGAAAAATAGTCGAGTCATCATCATCATCATCATCACTATTGTTCAATTAGAGTCTAAAATCACTTTGTCATCATTTAACTAATATATACATATATATTCAGATCGTCTTCGCGTGTTTTCAACAAAAATAAACATATCTCTATGAGTGTTAATCAGACCATTAACGGTTTCTTCGTATGTTGATTTATGTCCATTTACAAGAGAAGAATTTTTATATTCTCTTAAACAGGATCTAATCAAAGATAAACATAAACGATAGAACTAGTTGAACAACATTGTCCAGATGGAGAGACCGACAAATTTCTTTAGATAGAAAAAAACTCTAGAAAAATTCGCTAACTGCGCACAATACGTTGTTTTTTTTTAAAATAAAAATATAAAGTTTCTCCTTTGACCGATTAGAAAAAAAACAAATACATTATCTATTACAAAAAAACATAACAACAACAACTACTATTTATATAACAACTATTTCTTTGATCATCGATTTTGTTTTAAATAGAAGTTGAATAAATCAGCACACATATAATCCGTAATGATACGGTCTCTAATAATTTAAAATAAAAAGGTTTATCAATATTCATCGATATTCGCATAATAGAATGAGGTTAATTGTACGATAGAACCAAAAATGACATATATATTTCTACTATGTGTATTTTTGTTTTTTTTTCTTCTTTGCTAATATAACTAAAAAAAACATTTATAACCTCTTACTATACCATGCATAAAAAAAAAGAAAAAGATGATGACAAAACTTTTGATTATTTTTTTTTTTATTCAAACGAGAAAAAAAATATGATAAGAGAAAACTAATTTAACTAGTAATGAATATGAAAGAAGAGAAATATCTATATCTCTCAATTGTGTTAAAATAATAAAGAATAAAGAATAACATGATCCATACAGTTTTTAAATTAATTCTACCTACTTGAATGTAATTTTATTCATTTATTTGAAGCCAAGATTTTCTTTATTCAAAGAAGAAGAAGAGGAAGAAGAAGAAGAAAAAATC